GCTTACAGCGACATAACAGAAACTTTATGTAGCTTACAGCGACATGACAGACTTCAAGCATAGAGCGACATAACAGACTTCATGTAGCTTACAGCGACATGACAGACTTCATGTAGCTTACAGCGACATAAGACTTCATGTACCTACAGCGACATGACAGACTTCAAGCTTACAGCGACATAACAGACTTCATGTAGCTTACAGCAACATAACAGACTTCATGTAGCTTACAGCGACATAACAGACTTCATGTAGCTTACAGCGACATAACAGACTTCATGTAGCTTACAGCGACATGACAGACTTCAAGCTTACAGTGACATAACAGACTTCATGTAGCTTACAGCGACATGACAGACTTCAAGCTTACATCTACATAACAGACTTCATGTAGCTTACAGCAACATAACAGACTTTATGTAGCTTACAGCGACATGACAGACTTCAAGCATAGAGCGACATAACAGACTTCATGTAGCTTACAGCGACATGACAGACTTCAAGCTTACAGCGACATAACAGACTTCATGTAGCTTACAGCGACATAACAGACTTCATGTAGCTTACAGCGACATAACAGACTTCATGTAGCTTACAGCGACATAACAGACTTCAAGCTTACAGCGACATAACAGACTTCAAGCTTACAGCGACATGACAGACTTCAAGCTTACAGCGACATGACAGACTTCCTGTAGCTTACAGCAACATGACAGACTTCCTGTAGCTTACAGCAACATGACAGACTTCATGTAGCTTACAGCAACATGACAGACTTCATGCTTACAGCGACATGACAGACTTCATGTAGCTTACAGCGACATAACAGACTTCATGCTTACAGCTACATAACAGACTTCATGTAGCTTACAGCTACATAACAGACTTCATGTAGCTTACAGCTACATAACAGACTTCATGTAGCTTACAGCAACATAACAGACTTCATGTAGCTTACAGCGACATAACAGACTTCATGTAGCTTACAGTGACATAACAGACTTCATGTAGCTTACAGCAACATAACAGACTTCATGTAGCTTACAGCGACATAACAGACTTCATGTAGCTTACAGCAACATAACAGACTTCATGTAGCTTACAGCTACATAACAGACTTCATGCAGCTTACAGCTACATAACAGACTTCATGTAGCTTACAGCGACATAACAGACTTCATGTAGCTTACAGTGACATAACAGACTTCATGTAGCTTACAGTGACATAACAGACTTCATGTAGCCTACAGCGACATGACAGACTTCAAGCTTACAGTGACATAACAGACTTCATGTACCTTACAGCAACATAACAGACTTCATGTAGCTTACAGCTACATAACAGACTTCATGCTTACAGCAACATAACAGACTTCATGTAGCTTACATCTACATAACAGACTTCCTGTAGCATACAGCTACATAACAGACTTCATGATACAGCGACATAACAGACTTCATGATACAGCGACATGACAGACTTCATGCAGCTTACAGGGACCATAATTGTTACACTGACATAAAGAAGATAACATAAACATAATATACTTACCTAGCTTGAACTGTTTCTGGTCTAGGACTGGGACTTTGTGGTAGATCAATCAAAGGAAACTGGGCATTCACCATTTCAGGTGTCAGAATTATTTTGTCAGACTTCTCAGGCAATTCATCCTCACACTCCTCTCTCTCGTCATCTCTGAAACATGCATAAAATTATATGTGAAGTTAGACTGACATACATGAAGTTCCTGAACATTCATACACAAATAATCTAAGCATCACATAATCAGTGTTAGTGTGCTATCACACTTGTCAACTAACAATTTTGTGGACAACCACTACATGTATTTTTGTTCAACTTGTCCCAATGCAGATGACTTTTTTTTATCTAATATCAACTTACAAACAAGTCATGCATGGCACAGTCCCTGTTAGTTATCAAATTTAGGATATATAGTTTTGTTTATAGTAATATAGCTGGAATATAACCATGTCAGGAATATGATTTTTTTAACATTAAAATGATTGACATTTGTATCTGATCGTCAAACAAGTACTTGTCCATATTGAGAGATATTGCTCTGGAACAGCATTCAAAATCAGCCATTTTGAATATATATATATATATATATATATATATAACATGATGTATAACGAATATATAAAATTTGAATATAATCAGTCAAAGCATTTAAGAGATATGGCTCTAGAAGCCCAATCATTAAAACAAAATGGTCACCAGTCAGCCATTTGAATCCAATCTGGAAAATAAAATGACGTGCATCAGGAACCTGTAATGTCTAATGTATGTTATAAGTTTGAACAAAATCCATCCATAAATGCAAGAAATGCTTGATATTTGAGGATTTTTTTAGCACAAAAATAGCCACCATTTCGCCACTTTGAAAAGGAACGTCAAACCAATATATCCGTATATCTATTACATGATGTATAACGAATATTAAAATTTTGACCATAATCAGTCAAAACAAGTCAGACATATGGGTCTGGAAACCCATTCATTAAAACAAAATGGCCGCCAGACAGCCATTTTGAATCTGATCTGAAAAATAAAATGATGTGCATCAGGAACCCGTAA